AATTGTTAGAGATTTGCAATTCAGTTGTGAATCCAAAGGCAGGTATGTCCTACAGAGGTTCGCTGTCCTTCAGTCCTTGTACCTTCCTGTCAGTTTTGCTTGAGAGTAAAGCGTCCCTCAGATTTTGTTTGTTCAGTTTCCAGAGTCACAGCAAACACAGTTTAAAGGAACAGCTTTCTCTTTACCCAGATAAGTTAGTACAAACATGCCCCGAACGTCCTTTGCACTGCTTGTGCCAAGGGTAATGACAGGGGATTGTTAAACCTCCCGAATAAATCTTTAACAACTGGGTGAAACTTCGGTCCAAATCTGCAAACTCAAGTGGAAAGAGTAAATAGTATTTGCTTCCATTTTTAAGGCCCAGGCTGAGAAACTGCTCTTGTTTTACATTATTTACAGCCATTTGAGATGAAAAGACCTACATGTTTATGACTATTTTTAGATTGCCATTTCTTAATTTCATGTGTGGTCACATACCTGGGCACTGGGGTGGATATAGGAGAGCCAGCCTGGTTTTATTTTAAGGCTTTTTGGATCAGTTCAAATGCCTGTGATAATTTTCCTTCTTGAAATAATTTCTTATTACTAGGCTACTTGCTTGCTATGATTTGAATGTCTCTCTTCTGGGGGCAACTTAGGCCCAGTGCTTCAAAGGAAGACAAATAATAGTGATTGCTTAGATCAGTGCTATACCTAGGAGAGAATTTTCCCCTCATCTTCAGGTAACTCACTTTGTATTTTTAAGACTGCATTTGGATTGACTCAGAAAAAACATCACATAGCCTGCTGAACTTGATGCTAATGTCTCCTTTGGTTTTTACTTTCTTTTTGAAGTTTACTGAACTTGCTAAGTGTCTTGTTAGTTTCAAAATATTTTATTTGATCACAACATTACTTTTTTCAAAATGCAGCTATATGCCCAGCCTACTCCATGGAAGATGTTCACAGAGTTAAGCTTGGGTTAATCTGAGCTCAGACATCATGGATTCATGGTCACCAGTGTCAATGTCCCTTTATACCAGCTGAAGGCCTGGCCTGGGCATAGAGGTCTGCCACCAATTAATCCTGTAATGATTAATCAAGGTCACCATCAGGCCTGTGTACTCCTGGTCTGAGAGCTGGCAGGACTCAGGAATGAGGGAATTTGGAGAACTCCCCTGTGTTGCAAGAATTGCCCAGGGTGAATCTAGCTAGCCTTGTGCTTCAGACTTGCTTATCTGAGTGTCCAAGCACTGCAGAGTACATGAAGCAAGGAACTACAGTTTTATTGCATTTTCCAGTCATCAAATTGCTGCAGTGACTCCTTCTTAGTGGTTTTTTTTTCCTGAGGGCTAAATAAATCCTGCCTCTTCAATCCTCTTTTTGTATTCAAACCTCACCACCTCTTCCTTTGCTTCCCATAGCTTGTGCCATTCGTTTTGTTAACAAAAATTAAGTGTATTTTCTTTTTTTGTTCCAAATGGGTAAAGTAAATAGAGAAATGGTGTAATGTGTATAATAGGCAGGCTGTTTATTGGGTGTTGTCTCTCACAGGGTGAGGAAGCTTCCCTGTGACGAACCCATGAGTCACCATGGACTGCCAGAAGGCTTACAGATCTGCTATGTGGTAATGCTGCTGTTCTTTGAGTTAAAGGAATATTTTTTTGATTTTGTCCAATTTTTTCCACAAGGTGAGGAAATAAATTGTATTTACTGTGAGAGAGGCACCAGCAGCAGGATTCTGTGCTTACTCCTCCTGATGGAAATCAAAAGTAATGTAAGTGGAGTCAGTGGAGTGTGAAAGAGTACAAACCCAGAGTACCTTCTCCTCATGCCTGTTGCACCTACAGTTGATAAGGATAGTGAGGTGCTGGTCTCAAATGTGCTCAGAGGCCCTTTTCCCTAACTAGCCTTAGCATTAAGAGAAAAACAGTGGATATTTTCTCATCCAGTGAACCCTGTTCCCCAAAGAGCTCTGCCATTAGCATTTGCTTGTTATATTCATAATTATTATTACTTTGGCTTTTTATTGCTTATCTTTTTTTTCCATCCCGGACAGAACAGGCTTTTAGTCAAAGCCCAGGTCTATAGGATTTGTCTTGTGCACCCATGACACTATGTTCCCCAATGCCTGGAAAGCAGCACATCATGTTTTAACTTAAAATTTGCAGTACTGTGTAATTGCTGCTTCACATGATCTGACCCCACAGACCTCTTGATTTGAACTACAGCTGCCTGACAGCAGCAGCTGCACTGTACAGCATAGCAAAACCACTGAATTACCTGAGCCAGCCTTGCCTTTCTAATGATGTTGGGAATCAATGGAATGAGGTTTGAGCATTTTGCAAGGGAAATATACATTGACAATTTTTAATGGACTGCATGTCAATCACTAGATGTGCCATTTCTTGTTTTCCTGCTAATTTCTTTTCACATACACTCATGAGCATTAGCTTCTGAATTCTTTTCCTCAGCCTCCATTTGCAGCTATTGCCGTATCTTTCCTAAGAGGTGGCACCCAAAACTGAACACGGTCCTCCAAATTCAAATGCTCCATTGTTCAGGATTCTGTCATTATATTATCTTCTGCATTATTTTTACATCCTCTTATTCATGCACCCACACATTGCATTTGCATTTTAAACCTTTTTAAAAACGTTTTCATTACAACAATCAGATATAAGGGCAATGAAGTAAGTGTGGAACAATAGAAGTGAAGATTTTGATCCCCTCAGACCTTAACCTGTTTTAAAACTTCGGTGGTAACACTGATTTTGATTTACACTGAAAGGAAAGAGGGAGGATCAAGCTGTGCATGTCTACAGTGGGACATCCATTTTTGATAGTTAATGAGGAACAGTTTTGGAAAATAGTTTCAGAACACAACACTTTGTTTGGGAAAAGCACTTTTTCTTTTATCAGAAGGGAGGGGTTTTGCAAGTAGAGGTTTGTGCTGTGGGCTGGAGGCTGAAGAGCAGTGCTGGAGCCTGGATGCTGGCAGTGGAGTTGGTGGCTGCAGGGAAGCAGTGCGGGGTGCCCACATGTTGATTGTGGGACTATTCTGTACAGGAATTCACTCATTTTAACCTCAAAGCAGGGCTAAGCAGCACATCCTTCATTTTAGGAGTAGATTTAGCCTTTCTAGACTGTTAGCTTCTGCACAGCCATGTCTGATACTGACTGGTCCTGGGGAGTGGGTCAAAGGTGGGTGTGAAAAACGAAGTTCACTCCTGGTAAAATTTAGAAGTTTAATACAGGGCAGTAGGAGACTTGGAGACACCCCTTTACTTACCTTTTCTATTGCATCAGCCTACTGCATATTTATAAAAAATTATGCATATTTACACTTTTCCCCAAACTAGTTTACATGTTCCAAGAACTGTTTAGAATGGCTCCTCCTCGAGTCTGCCTTTTTAGAGCATGCACATTTCTTGGCTGTGGTTTTAGTCCGTTATCATTATCACCTTTGGGCTTTAGTCCATACTTGTTAGAGACAGTAGGTGCTGATACTAGCAACGGTCTTCATCGTACATTCACAGGATGTTATCCCAACCAAGCAGGCAGTTCAATTACCACAAGCATAACTGTATTTCACTACTATGTGTAAGTTTGGTTAACAGCAGAAATAAAGATGATATCTTTTATAGCAAAGTTACTTTAACATTATACATACAGCATCCATTTTAATATTTGTGAAAAACCAATATTATAGTATGTATTTATAACAGTGGGGCACCCCAGCTGGCTGCAGGGGAATGTATGGAATCTTACTTAGAAAGAGATGGCAAGGGGAGGTGGCCAGAGGCAGAGCTACTCTGCCATAAGCATGCTGCCACCATAGCCCATGGAACCATTGCCACCACACCAAGCCACACTTGGGACTTCCACTCAGAAGAGATGGACAACCAGTTTTAAGCTGCAGCTGGGAAAGGTGATTTTTATTAAACAAATGAGTATTTATGGGTTGTCTGTCTGCAGAAGCCAAGTGTGTGACTCAGAAAATCACCTGAATAACACTGCTGCTAGCCAGGGAGAAGAAAAAAGGTGAAGAAATCCATAAAGCAATCAGTCATGTCTAGCTTTCAGGCAGATTGCACCTTAGTAGCCTCTTCAGTGTCTTTCTTCTCCATTAATTGCTTCTGCTTTACTTGACTCTGGATTTTCTCCAGGAGCCACTCTTAAAAGTTAGTATCTGGTGGATATCAATGACATTGTCATATATCCCTCTGGAGGGACTTTTTCTAACTGCTCTTTGATTCCAGGTAACGCAGTGAGACACAAATGCCTTTGGTCTTCTCTTGTGTGCCTCAATTAATGCCATACTTTACTCACCCAGTTAGGCAAGGTTTGTAAACACGGGGTGCGGTTTTACGATGCAGCTAATTAGATCCAATAAGTGCTAGTCTGGGTGGTGAGTTTGCTCCTCCTGTCAGCAACTTCATACTCCTGCTCCAACTGCAGGTTCTGTTGCGTGATGGACTCTTGCTGACACAGTCCAGGACAATGACCCAGCAGAAACTGTTCGCTTTTTTCCCCCCCCTCTGAATTAATTTTCTGCCAGTCTGATATCCTCTGATGACTTGCCAAGGTAAGATGAGCATTCCTGCTGGCACAGAAAAGGATACAGGGTTGCTCAAGAGAAACAGAATAATACAGAAGCATTACCTTAGTTTGGTTGATCAGCTGATTGATTGTAAATTCACACCTTTGCAGCTTCCTATTTGGTTTGCACATATCATCACAACTGCCATCACATGAGGAGACTTTTCTTACTCTTTTTCCAGTACTAGCAAGATCTGTTCACAGGACAGATGTTGCTATTCTCAATCAGTTGTTATTCTCTATCTTTCAGATCACTTCAAAGACAAGAAGTGTTAATGGCAGCAATGGAAACTCAGTAGAGAAGAGGGGAAAGCAAGGGATGCAGCAAGAAATGGGATAGGAAATAGCAGTACTGACAGCAGTAGCATAATGTAGTTGTGAAATGATTTACTTGGGTACTTGCAACAGCTGCAGGTGCTGCCTCTCAGCCAGCCAGGGCACAATTGAGAGAAGGGGTGCTGCTGTCTCTTTCTTCCTCAGCTGTGACCTTAGGCTTGTACTCTCCTCCCTGTTTCCTTTCTTGGTTCCCCCTCAGTATCTCCTTGCCTGCAGCTGCTAGGATAGTTTGGCCTCAGAACACTTCCATAGAGGCTCAGGGAGCTGCACCTGAATTCATCAGCATGTCATTCCTGCATTCCTGCCTGGGCACTCTTGTGTTAACCCATTTCTTATCCAGAAAGAACATGTTGATGGAGTGGAGGTGTGTGGAGGCAGAATGTTAGATTATCACAGCACCAACATGGGTCGGTTATAATGATTTCGTAGGTTCTTCAGGGAAACTTTCCCAGAGCTCAGTACTCAGAGAAAGCACTGGGAGTCCGCGTGCTGCAACCAGAGGAACTTTGCCTTCCTTAGCACCAGCAGAGTAGAGGACCAAGAAACAAGACAGCATGCTGAAATGTATAGAACCAACAGCTGTGCCAAAGTGTGCCAACCCATGCAGGTAGAAATATGCTGCTTAATTACTATAATAATGTAAAAGTCTTTCCCTATTGTTTGTCTGGCTCACATGGAACCACCCCTTATATGCAAAACAGGTTTGCTATTTAAATGTAAGCTTGTGTTTATACGCCAGTTGATAGCTTTTCCTGGAGATCCAAGACAGCTGGCATTGCTGCAAACATAAATAATTTTGGTAAGAGTGTGGTGAGCCTCCCTTTTTTTCTAATCCAATAGGAGTGCTTTTTAGTTCTTTTTTTTTTTCTTTTTGACGTGACTTCCAGAAGACACAGAGTAAAAAAGGTATTTATTTTTCTTTTCTTTTAGTCTTTTCATAACTGTGGACATTGCTAGAAACTAAAAAGGTAAATACAACATTTTGTAGGTTCAAGTAGGAATGCAATTTTTGTATTCCTCCACCAAATATATTTTAAGAAAAATACTGCTGCTTCATGCAATTCTTCTCCCCTGCTAAGAAAACCTCCACTTTAAGGCACAGGAGCTACTGCCAAGCTGAGCCACAATAACAATTGGAAAGCAGATCCTGATTGTTTAGGAAAGCATGTGCTGGGGAGATGGAAAATCTCCTTGTAAATGTGGTATATGAAGTTTTTACCATAAAATAAACTTTCTTTTTCTAGTGTGGTTAAAAAGTTTAGTTCAACTGGCTGCTGGATTAAAGTAATTCCAGTTTTGTCTTTTTCAGTTTTGAATTCTGAATGTTTTAGCTTGCTCAAGGTTTATTGTTTGACAGTTTCTGCTGATAACACCTTTCGGACTTTACATTGAGGGTTAGGGTTAAATAAATGTGTGTTGTCTGGCTTGTTAAGAAATACCATAGCCTAGATTTAGTGTAAGGTCTGGTCTAAGGACATAAGCAGGCTGGAGATGAGCCCTCTAATGCTGGGCTTTGGCAGAAACAGGCAGAGTCATGCTGCTTAGGAGGGAGGAAAACTTCCACACAGGAGTGCACTATGTAGCAATTATTCTAGAAGAAAACTGGGTCTTCTGTTTCCTAGCCCTATACAATATACCTTATTTCCCTTTAAGTGAGACAAGGAGTGTGTTTTGGCATAATGCTTGGTTGACTTTATAAATTTGGAAAACACTGTAAGTCCAGGTCTGATGTTGAGTAGAGAACAACCAGTCCTAGGTTCTTGTGCTTGCCTTGAAAGCAGAATTTTAGCTGAGTTTTGCACTTGACTTTCTCTGTGTTTTTTGATAATATTTTTTCCCCCAGACTCTCCCTTAATGAGAGAGTACTTCTTTAGGACCTATCTGAAATCATTCAAGAACAAGCTACCTGCTACACAGAGTATAGAGCTCTCTGACAGGGACCAATGCATCAAATTCAGCATATTACTTCATTTCTGTTGGTTTGGTTTGTTTAAAGACATGCTGTCATTCCAGCTTGGTTCTGATCACGTTCAGAACAGGTTTTTACAGAAGCTAAGGCCAGTGGAAATGTTATGCTTTTTACTCACTTTTCTTGGGGAGGATTAAAGCAAATAAACATGCAGTGGCTCATCCTGCTCCAAATCCATGTGAGTTGCCTTAAAGTGCAGAAGTGGAAGGAACAAGTACCCTCTTCTGGTGTCTGCCAGCACTTTTTCCTGACTGCCACTTGGGCTCCTTCCAGGCATTAAATCCGCCATAGATACACTTGTTGCCAGCTGTTATTTCTTTTGACTCTTCTGGTGTGCTGGAAACAGTCTCTGCTTTGGAAATCATTACAGCTGTGTAACTTGCAAATGATGAGTAATGGCTTCCTTCAGTTTAACTCTCCCTTCTCTTAGTGTTTCCAGTGTGCTCATCTTTCTGCCCAGTGCTGCCCAGAGGTGAGGTACTGGATCTCAGTGCAGCAGCTTCCCTCGTGCTTTGGAGAGGAATTGCAGGTAAACATCAGGCTCCCTAAACAAGACACTTTGCAAGCAAAAGCTTGGAAAATAAATTAAAGACTCCAGTAAACATCAAAACACAGTAGGGGATATTGGCTTAATGGCTACATGATAAATTTCCCTTCTCCTCACTAGCACCTGTGTCATCCAGAAAGAGGTGAACAGCTATGTTCTTTTCTCTTAGGAAAATATTGCTACATCCAGTTCCCCTTTCTTACTCCTATAGTTCACAAAAGTACAGCTAACTCTTCTCTCCAGGGTTGTTCAGTTGATACAGGTCTGAGCAATTTTTGTCTTCATGTGTACAGCTCTCCAGTCTCTTGCTTCTGTTTCAGGCCTTTGTATTCCCAGAAGCTTCCCAATATAGCTCTTAGTATTTCAAAAGATATTGCTGTGAACTTTGTCCTGCCCATGTCCTTGGGGTATGCTGGCTGCAACACTCTTTTCTTCCTTGCAGGCCAGCCAGTGCTATTTCAGTAGGGTTTAGGAATGGAGTAGCATTGTGGACACATGCAATGGACCCTTGGAAGGACTAGCATGTGTGATTTGAATTCCTGTAGTCCTGGAGTATGAGCACTGGAACACTCTTCATATGGCTCTCCATATTTGCCAATTTTACTTCTTTTTTATTCAGAAGGGTCTAGTTAGTGGGCATGCCTTTGAATACAGGTTGGGGTCAAAAGAAAAATCAATTCCTTTCAGTTGGCTGGACAAGTAACTAAAGCAGCATTATTTTCTTTCTTTTAATAAATATATATAATGAACTTTAAGCTTATTTAAAGATCCTGCATTGTTATTTCTGTATGAAACTCAAACTGTTATGACTAAATCTCTGCATGAGAATCCACAAGAGAGATTGTAGAAAAAGCTGAATACTGACTTTGTGTGTTTAAAAAAGGATAGAAAAGTTTCTCTGCAGATGGATTCATAGCATCTGTGCTATGCTATGCTATGCATACAGCCATAATACCCACACTGTGTATAGGGAGTGTATGTACAAGTGTACATGCACACACGTATGTCTGTTTAGTCTCTGGATAGATGGAGATGTCACTTGATTCTAGTACTTTCCTTGATTATAGTTACTGTGTCCAGGAACCTCAGGCTTGTTTCTATGGAGCTATTCCCAGTTCAGCTATTTCCTCAATCCCCATTTGGCAGTAAGTGGAAGATGTTGTGACACTCACAGTGAGCGTGTCACAGAGGGGCTGGGAGTGTGGGCAGAGCTGTGTGCAGGTGACAGGCTCACACAGGAGGGACTCGTGTGCAGCAGGCTGCAGCATGGCACTGATCTCTTGGCTTTCCATCAAGGGTTTCACAGGCCAGACCAGATCTCTCTCTCTCTCTCTCTCTCCCTTCTCCTTTATTTTTTTTTCCCCTTTCTTTTCCCTCCCTGGTGCCCTGCTCTGAAGCAGGACTGTAAGATCAGGATGGCATCATGAGAATGAGCGCTAGGGAACCTATGCTGCTCTAGACAGGCTGACTAATCTCCCTTTAAATAATCTCCCTTTAAATAGTCTGGAAGCACATTGGTGAGTTTCTGTTTCAGGAGCCATAAATAGCCAGATACATGCTGGTAAGTAGCAAACAGCACAGTTATTTGTTCTAGGAAAGTCTTCCTATTTCCTTCATGTTATTGCATGGATAGCTGTGATCCAGTTCTGGTAACACTCTGTATAGTAGCGGCCGTGCTGCCTTTCCTCACTCTACTGTATCTTCTGCCACAGTGAGGAGAGAGCACCTGCTCCTGGGAGATAGACTTCCCTCTCTAATGCCTTTGGATCGCAGTGGCAGTGGAGCTACAGCTTGCTGTGGGTCAGCTCGCTTTAGCTAGAGCAGTGCAGTTCAGACCCTTCTGAGCAGTGCTGTGAGTTCAAAAATCTCACTGATATTTATTGAATATATTTATTGAAGGTGAAATCAAGGAATATTTGAACACTGGCTGCCTAGCTATGGATCTGGATACAGTGGAATGTATGGTCCTGGAAGCCAGCTAGCCTTGTGCTTCAGACTTGTCTGGAGGATAAACTCAGTTTATCTGTCTTTTCCAAACTCAGAAATAAACAATGTTAAAAAAAAAATAAATATTGACAAAGTCCATGTTAGGCTGGCTAATATAATCTTAAAGATGAAAGAGTGCAAACTATTCTCCAGGTAGGTCCAAGCACTCTGAAGCTGTGTCTATATCTGGTCCTGAATTATCAAGACAGCCTTCAAGAACATCAGGAGCTCATCTGTGTCCAGTAGCTGCTATAGCACTTTCCAAGATTTAGGTAAATAGGAGAATCCACAACAAAGAGGGCAGCAAGTCTTGCCTCAGCGAGGTAGGAGGCATTTAAATTTCTTACTCATAATGTATTGTCATCTTCTTCCTGCCATCCTACCCACTCAATGCGTCAGAGATCTAAGGCTTGATTTTTTAATATTTATTTTTCTTTTTTTCTTCCCCGCCTTCTCTGCTGAGCAGGGAATATCCAAGCCTTCATTTCTAGTGCATGATGTGAGATTTTTTTTTTCCTTTTATATATTTTTCTTTCTTATTTTTTCTCCATCTGCTGAGACATAATTCCCTCAATCTACTGGCGTTTTTACTGGTGTGAGTTGGCTTACTGGTGCAAGAGGACAGAGGGCCAAGTAGGTCTGAGGAGGGGAAGAGATGATATGTGGGGGAATAGCACAGACCAGTTACACAGAGGCAGCTTCCTTAAATTGTCCTTTGTGTTTGCTTTCCTTCATAACATTGCTTTTAAATTATTGTAAAGAGGACAAGGTTTCTGCCTGGTCAGAAGTTCCATCCCAAGTGATGTGACACCATTCATTTGATCTCATGGACAGAGGGGTGTCCTTTTGCATTCCTTATTCATGCTCAGTGCTTGCTATCCTCAAACTGGAGCACACCTGGGACCAGGGATTGCCTCAGTGTGTCGTTTATATGGGATTTTAAGCTCATATTTGGCAGAGCAGGAGTTCTGTGCCAAGTTTTGGATACAACATCAACAGAGAAATTAATGGTCTTCTGAGGGAAAGCACTACAATGTCTTATTATTATCAACAGTCTTCTGAATTACAGAGTAAACAAAAAACCAACCAAACAAAACCAAACCACCCAGCCTGTGCATTTAATTAAAAAGACAGAACAAAGCACAGCTTTTTCAATAACTGTATTTGGTGTACTTACCTTGCAACACTCCAGTCAGACCAACCAGGCTGTTCCTAGGGTAAATTTCACCTGAGCTCCAGCCACTATGCTATGCATAGTATGCATTTCTTTGGAAAAGCCAAAGAAGGAAAAGACAAAGCTGAAGGTAGCAGAAAGTATGTTTCAATGCGGGACAGGTCCCACTGAGCAGAGATAGCAAAAAGCAGCGGAGTCTGCCCCATTACACTTCATTGTTCTTTTCCCTCTAGCACAATGGCTGCGTTCCCTGTCTTGGAGCAAGAAACCTTATTCCGGAACGGTAGCTGGAGCTATCGAATCCCAGCCCTGCTCTACCTGCCGCGGTTCAGCATGATCCTGGCCTTTGCTGAGGAGCGAGAGGACCTGGTGGATGAACATGCCAAGCTGATAGCCATGCGCAGGGGCGTGTATGACCCAGCCACGCAGCACGTTCAGGTACCAGTGCAGGGAGGAAGCAGGGGTCACTGCCCCCTGTTCTGCTCACCTGACCCCAGTGAGTTGAATGTATTTGCCCTCTTGCTGTAGCTGACAGGGCAGCTTCTCCTCCCCAGGTACAGAAGATAAATCTGCCTATGAATAATGCATGTCTTGTTATAACTGCTGAGATTCAAGCCTATAGGCAGCTGTTGCGGGGACTAAAACAGAGTAGATGTTCTAGGAGTGGCTCTGGCCCATCATTGCAGAGCTGGGGATGCAGATACAGAGATAGGAGAAAAGTTATGTTGTAGCAGGAAAAATGTGGTGGAGAGGAAGAAATGCCTCAAGGAAGAGGAAGAAATGTCACAACGACAGGAAGGAGTAAATTAGCGATCAGTGACTTTCTTTTTTATTCATCATTTTAGGACTAATTTCTGGTTTAAAAAACAATTGGGAATAGCTAGTTTCCCCATGCAAAAAAAGTGTCTGGTTTGCTGGTGCCAGTGAATTGGTTACCTTATTAACCTACCAGTTATTATTAACAGTTATGCTGCCAGGTAGCTGGGGGTGGAAACTCCATTTATAATAATTTTTTGCATATGCAAAGGCATTAATGTCTTGGGGGGAAAAAAGTAATCATATTTTTCTATTCCAAACCTTTGTTGGTTGTCTTAGATCATAGGCTCTTAAGAGCTAGAGTCTGCCTAGCAGAAGCAGCCTCTGAGCCCACCTGCAGTGTCATACCATTCAGGTAACATCTTGTGTAACTCCCTCTAATTCAGTTAGTGGGGTTCAGTTGGTTATAAACTTAGTAATTTGTGTTCACATGCTAGAGTTTCTTAAAATGGAAATACTAGATTTTCAATAAAAGTTCATATTAGTTGGATAGAAAAAGATAAGATATGAACAAAAAGGCTAATCAGCAAAATCAGGGCAGAAAAGCTAATTAATATAATCTTACTGGAAACTACTTATTTGCTTACCAAGCCAATAACACTATGTAGTCATAGTTTTCTAATTGCAATGCTAGTGTTAGAAACATGACTGTGTTATGTGCTATTCATTTGAAGAAAACAGGGCTTGCTGGGTAGTTATACCAGCTCTGCGACCTATTTTCTGACTCAGACATCTCAGGGTCTAAATCTCCACACCAGAGCCACGCAATCAGCCCTAGCAAGGTGCCTCAGTGTAGGCTAGATTGCCCATTCACATCAAAGTGGAGGAACAGGAACCCAAATGCAAGGGGTTTGTCATCATCCAGGATGCTTGAAAACAGCTTGGGTTTCTCTGTGACTTCCTAAAAAACATTGACACAGCACAGTGTCTGTACTAGCACACTTTGACCACTGGGCATGCCTGTGTGCCATATATATATATATATGTGAGGTTTTCTGAAAATTCAGCTGCTGTAGCTTTTTTAAGGGTGTCATCAGCCATCAGCTGCATCGAGATATGGAGCTGTCAGTTCCTCAAGGAGTAGTAATTGAAAAGGACATAACCCACATGCTTTGTGCCATCTAAATAATTTTCACTTGCCTTTGCAATGCCAGATTGTCTTCCCATTTCTTGCTCTATCCATTATCCTGTTTCTGTTCTTCCCATGCTCTTCTGAGCTTTTATCTAGACATCCTTGCACTATAACGTGGGTCTCTTTGTAACAATGTGTTCCATTCTTGTCTCCCTTCCCATGGGCCCTGGCAGTGGAAAAGGATGGAGACTCTTGTCAGTGCACAGCTGGAAGGCCACCGATCTATGAACCCCTGTCCAGTATATGATGAGGTCTCAGGGAAACTCATCTTGTTCTTCATAGCCGTCCCAGGAAAGATCTCTGAGCAGCATCAGCTGAAGACAAAGACCAACCTGGTACGTCTCTGCTATGTCACTAGCATGGACCAAGGACGCACCTGGAGCGCTGCCCAGGATGTCACCGACAGGACCATTAGGAATGAGTACAAGAACTGGGCCACGTTTGCGGTGGGGCCGGGTCATGGTCTACAATTGCTCAACGAAGCCCGGAGCCTTGTGATTCCTGCCTATGCCTATCGTATCTTGGACCCCAAGCAACACCCCACCCCTCATGCCTTCTGCTTCATCAGCTCTGACCATGGGACAACATGGGAGAAGGGGAACTTCGTGGGGGAGGAGAGCGCAGTGGAGTGCCAGGTAGCAGAGGTGCATACCTGCGGCAGAAAGGTTCTTTACTGCAATGCAAGGAGCAACAGAGGAGCCAGGATCCAGGCTGTCAGCTACAACCATGGGCTGGACTTCAAGGGAGGCCAGCGGGTTGAAATGCTAGTAGAACCTCCCTCTGGATGCCATGGAAGTGTTACTGCCTTTCCACCTCCCCCAGATGCCACATGTCAAGATAGTTGGTTACTCTACGCTCATCCTACAGACCCAAGGGGTCGAAAAGATTTAGGAATTTACCTCAACAAAAGCCCTTTAAATCCAGCACACTGGACAAAACCCAGCATACTCTTCAAGGGCCTGTGTGCTTATTCAGATCTGCAGTACATGGGTATTGGGCCCGATGGCTCACCTTTGTTCTCCTGCCTCTTTGAATATGGGACCCGCAGACAATGTGAAGAAATTATTTTTGTCATGTTTACCTTGAAGCAAGCCTTTCCCTCAGAACACTGAGTCTCAAGCCTTTCTATCAGCATACCTCTGAAAACCATCTTTGCTGATGCTTTTTACTGTAATTTTTCATCCCTCAGCAAAAGGGGGTTTTTTAGTCCTCCTGCACACATAGTTTTGTGTTGGCTTGTTGTATCTGTAGATTGTGAAGTCCATTAAACATACCACAACTTAACATGTTGTGATTTTCTATTGCCTGTGCTCCCTTTTTGCCTTTCTGTTTGGGTGCCTTTTTACACATCATGAACCCAAAACAACTGTGACCTTTGTATAGGGCTACTCACCTTGAGGTCTCATCAGGGACATGTGTGCTGACAGCACAGGGACTGCAAGGAAAGAGATGGCAGCAGGGTTGTGCCGAGTGATATTTAGTAAGTTGTGGACAAAATTCTAGAGAGAGCACTGGGCTTACTATCCTATATCTGCTGTCATCTTCTTCAGGAAACTACTTTGGCTCTGGTAAGGAGTACTGCTTCTTGCAGCCAGCATAGGAATGCAGGCACCTGTAATTTCTAAGGCTTTCTGTCTCCTTATTTCAGCAAGGCTGTGTGATGCCTTGCTCTTGGGATATTCCATGCCAACTTTCTCAGTGCATTTGGAGTTGCCTTGCTGAGTTCCCAGGCATCCCAGGGGCTTCTGTCTAACTTAACTTTCTCCTTACTTCCCATGCTATGTTTCCTTTCTTACTCGCCCTTTTGCTTACACTGCATTGAGAAGGTGCAGTTTCCCATGTGTAAGAAAACCTTGTGTGTTCTGGTTGCTCCCTCTCCCTGGGCAGTGACAGTAGGAGTCATTGAGGACACCAGGACCCTTCCATGTTGGGGGACAGAGCAAGTGGCAAAAATGGCATTGTGGCTATACGGGAACTGCAGGATCAGGACCGGTCTGCAGAGGGAGCTCCCAATTTAGAGTCAGGAGGGGAAGTGCTTGCTGGTCTTTCTAATACAAGTGCCAAGCTATGATGCACATAGCAGCTACTCTCATTGTTGACAACCCCATGTCTTGTTATTACAGAGTATTTTGGCATATGAGGCACTATGTCAAACAAATAACATTGCCTCACTTTCAGCAAAAAAGCACCAGTGTCAGAGGAAGGAGAAGTGACCAAGGCCAGAGTAGCACAAAACACTCAAGCTGGAAAGCATTCCAACATAGACAGTTTTTCAGCAGATTTCTGAAGGAAACAGCTCTAGTTTTGGTGAGAGAGATGCTATTCTACTACTATAACAGTGTATTTTGAAAGCAGGTATTATGCAATGACTAGCCAAGAGACTGACCAGAAACAAATGGCTACTAGGTGAGACACATCAGAGCAGATGGAGCTAGGAAAGTGTTACCCAGGCCTGTGGACAAAATTCTGCATATGAACCAGTCTGTGCTTGTTTCTTGTGTGTTGTATCCTGCGTGTGTGCACATGTTCAACGACTGCAAGGAAAATGTGTTTGTTTTCCCACTCGGTGAAGAAAAATTCCTGCTTTTAAGAGGTCTCTCAGAACATATCCCCTTTGGTGAACACTAGCAAGTTCCATAGGATCTTTTGCAGTGTCACTGCTCAGGTCTGTGAGTCTGCTTGCACAGTGCTCCTACCCTTGCCTTTTACTACTGACAGCTTTCATGCGTGGTGGGAAAAGAAGCCCTGACTTTCCTCATGGATGTTTGTTTCAGGGCACCTGGATGCTGCTGATACCAAGGGAGGGAAAGGGTCTCGTGACCTTCACAGATATACCTGTAACTTGTCAAGCCTTTCCCAAGAAGCAGGTCAGGAACATGCTGGGGTGGAATAGCAGGGTGGCTCAGGTAGCCAGTACTTTTTGAGTACTACTCATATGCTCTTTAGATGTAGGCCAGAGTCTAAATAACCTTTGTGGCCAATAGCCTGTCACTGATGCCTAATTAGGGATTGGTATATTTAGACTGGAGCAAAGCTAACTGCTGCCCTATAGACTTAACCTCCTCATCAGGTACTATGGAATACTTAAGTTTTTTGACATGGAAAAACATACTTAAGTTTTTATCAGGCCAAGCCTGGCAGTTCCCATGCTGATGCAGTGCATGGGCTGAATATAAGTGGGTGTGGGGGGGTTGGGTGACCACTGTACATCTTGAATGATGCCACAGACAGTATTTATTTACTGGTTCTGGAGAGGCTGGTGCATGGACAACCATCTGGTACAGTACTACCTGGACATCTACAGCAAAACAAGTTTAGATAAAGTGTCTATTGTAGTGTCTTGGAGATAAGATATTATTCCAAGCTAACAAGCCATTAAGGATCACAGAGCTGTTTATATTAGGGGATTGGGATTCACCTTTTGAGCAGCTGGAGCTGTACTGTGCTTTCTTTTGAGGACCAAGAAATACTCACAGAAACCAGCCTACACATTTAATTGCCACAATCATCATTTGTACTTGGATCCCTTCCCTTTGTTTTTGCCTCCAAGTCAAGAAGTAGTGTGTGCCTGGGCACGGGATTTGAAGGAAATAGCAGCAGCTTGCTAAAAATCTATGTTGGTGGTGGGGTGGATAGGAGCTAAGTACGCAGCTAATTAGTCTCAGATGTCTAATGAGGGCTTGTAGCTATTACCTGATGTTAGTTTGCAGAAGATCAGGAGAAGCTCTCCAAACAGTTTCATTCTATCAAAACTCATGCTGTGAGCAGCTCTGTCCACTCTGCCTCCAGATACATGTCTGTTACATGGAGAGCACTGTGAGGTCAAGCAGTGGTTGCATTCAGAGCTGTTCTGCTTCCTGCTGCAGCTGTGCTCCAGAGAAGCTACTGGAGGTACCAGAAATCACAAGGACTCGGTGCAGGTGAGGTTAGCAGTGTACTGGCCAGGCAGGGCTGTCAGAGCAGTTGCATCGTGCCTTTGCCACATGCAGATTCTCATTTTGGTTGGGAGAATAGAGTTTGTAACCACTCTGTAGCTTACAGCTATAGCCCACTGGCAGAGGCACTTCATGGCATTCAGTGTCTGACTCCATTTAGGCACCTGAATCTGTAGGAGTTTGTCTGCCTGTGTGGATGATGGTGGAGCTGAAGGCCAGGTTCAGCTGAGCTAATTTTGGTGTGCAGACAGTGCTCAGCATGGACAGGAAGCCCTGCACGGTGCAGTTCTGCTCATCTAGCAGGGCCCTGTTCTGGCCACACAGCTTTGGGCTGCTGCTGCCCACAGTTTCGTCTCAGTGCAGAGGTTAAGCTGGACACTGCAGACCAAGTCTCTGTATAACTGAAAGCAACAAGAAGGCTTACAGAGATGGGTGCTGGTTTGTTCTGGTTCATTCTCCCTCTCCACACCTACACATTCTAGCCTCCCCCTGTGCAGAGGCAGTCTGTTCTCTCCTGCCTTGCTGTCCTTGCAGTGTACAGCACAGCACTTCATGCATGGTCCAGGTACTGTGGTTCCAGCACTTCTCCTGGCTCTGGGAACCAACAGTTGCATAGGGCTATCAGGCTTTGCACCTTTCCTCTGCCTCTGGACTTTGAGTCCCAGCTCAGCTGCTGCTTTCAGGTATTGCTCAAATGTGGATGTGCAGAGGGCAGAATGGTTGGAGGTACAGGATAGACAACCAAAATTGTCATGCAGGCAGTGCCCCTGTAGGAATGTCCTGGCATTACTGCAAATGTCTTGGGGGTGCAGCAGTAAGCATGCCACACAGCACAGCTGAGGGACAGATGAACAGACAAAGAAAAGGGAAGTGAAAGCTCAAGTTCTCCCTCTCTGACGCAGGTTGCCAGACACGGCTTTGCTCTATCCCACCTTTGGGGATTTAGAGTAGGAAAGATCTTTGATCCATCTCACAGTAGCTGACAGGGAGCTTTGGTCAAAAATCCCCAGCACAAATCAGCCTTTCAGTCTGCTTCTATGCATGGAGACATGCAATAGTAATTTTATTTTTTTCAATTCTTTGAAGTCCCCTCTTCAGACCTAGTAAGATATGAGGACTAGCCAAGGCAGGAATGGAGCAGTCAGTGCTATGTATCCTAATGCACGGTTTGTTTCTGATCAGAGGTTTGTTTATTATCCATGGAGACCTGTAGTGGGTAGGACATACAGAAAGGAAAAAGATGAAAACTCAAAGGATCTGGCAGGACATCATAAATTGGACGGCAGGCCACCAAAGCCTGGGGACTGAATCTCTGAGGGAGCAAAAGAGATCACCAGCTGGGACTTTTGGACACAAAGCAGGACAGAAAGGCAGGGAACATGGGCTTGCTAGTCATTTCAGCAGCAGCAGCATGAAGAGGGAGAATGGGGGCTGCAGGGATATGTCACACTGACTCTCTGAGCTGTGTGAGTTGAGGAAGTTGTCCGTAGCTGAGTTTCCTTTCCCTCTCTGTGCTATTGAAACAGGAAGCTGGTGAGCTGAAGCTGCTTGATCGTTATACACAGACACACAGGCAGCTCTGGCAGCTCCTGTGTTGGCATTCAGGTTTCCTCCAGCTCCAGCGATGGATCAGTGCTGGTACCACGGCAACATCACTCGCTCCAGAGCTGAAGACCTGCTCTCCAAAGTAGGCAAGGACGGCAGCTTCCTTGTGCGGGCCAGTGAGTCAATTGCTTCGGCATATGCACTCTGCGTGCTGTAAGTACAGCGTTCACCGCGCCCTCAGCCCACACTGCTGTCCCTGCTGGGCAGGGGTCACCCCTGCCTCCTCCCCAGCACAGAGGCAAACAGATGCTGTACTCACTGGGAATGTGCAGCACTCATCAGCACACGGCTGGTTTCACCAGACTGAGCCATGGGGTGGGGAAGGGTTAGGAGCCAGGCTGAATAAACCCATAGTTATGCACTGCTGCACTGCTCACGCTGCTCTTGCCCCTGATTCAAAAGGAGAGAATGGTCAAAGGCACTGCTGCTGTGCTCTGAGAGAAAGCAACCTCTTGAACTTCTGGAGTGTCTTAACAACTTGGGTCAAGTATTTATCTTTAGTGACCCCAGTCCTGAGCCTGGGACCTCCCAGACACTTTTCTTGCTTTGGTTCAGTGTATGTTTGAGCTCCCTTCTTGTACTGTGTTGCATTCAGCAAAAGGCTTGAAATAATTCCTGGAGCTATGCATAGTATACCCGGCACAGCAGTGATTCCACCTGCATCATTAATGTGGCTCGTGGGGTAAGCGTTTCATGTGGGAAATAGGGACAGAAGTGCTGGCAGCCCTGATCCCGCATTCTGAGTTAGGTCAGGGACCAGAGAGCAAGGCC